TTAAACTTCCATTTTCCATATTTCTGACCAAAGCTGGAAACTAAACAGAACAGCCTCCCATAAATCACTTTCACCTGGTGGCTCCACAGTATTCTGCAGAAAAGCCTCCAGGCTCTCCGTCACATTCCCAGGTCTCTTACCTTGCCACCTCCAAACGTGCGGTCATAGCGTCCAATGATAGCATTAGCCACATGGAGGACAACGTTGTCAGGATCAGCCCATCCTGGCCCCTCCACAGCAAGAGCAACATGGGCAACAGGCAGAGCATCGTCTCTGGCACGGATCTAGGAAGTCACCAAGGAACAGGGAAGAGCTGACTGAGCATGGTGATTTTGTCTGCAATCTGCTGCAATGCCAAGCTGACAAACTGGAGAACTTAATATTAACCCAGTGAAATAAAATTGCCTCAGGCTCTATTGAGGACAAATCACTTGCTCTGATGAAGTATTCCCATTAGGTGATGTGAGCAATAGCCTCACATTCTTACTGGGCTTTGTTTCTATCTAAAACCCAACATATTGTGGCAATAAGCCTAAAGAACAGAACTTGGGAATACTACCAACATGCTGTGCTACCAGCTTGTGAGATGCATGAACAGGAGCAACTACAGCTAGTCTCGTATCCATTCAACAGTTTGGCAACAGCTGCTTGTTTTGATTGGAAGGAAAACAACTTTACCTCACTCCCTGTGAAACGACAGTGTGGCAGAATAGGCACAGCATCTTCTTTGTACGTAAAAGACACCCCACTGAAGTGCTGCCTAGCTGCATCTACCAGTTCCTTGTGAGAAATACCTGGCAATAAGGGAAGTTTATAGAGCTCCATTTAATAAAATCACATTATTTTACATTAGAGATGCATGCCAGGGGGTTGATCACCAGAGTCTCAAGAATCTAGGGCTTACCTCCAGCAGCTGCCAGGACCATACGAGGTGCTTTGAAGTGAGTATCAATATAAGAAGCTAGGTCTGCTCGAGTCAGATGCCTAGAAAGCACAAAGGAATGCCTAATATATCAGCTTCTCAGAGTTGGAGGGTTAAGAGACTGAATTCACCGTATAGAGGAAAAAAGTGATGCTGCTGATTCAGTTAGTTACAGGATAATAATACTTCCCTGAAGAACAACTGCACTGCTTTTTTTGCCTGCACTCTAATTCTGGAACACAGAGAATGGAAACAGATGGTCAAGAGTTAAGGAGAGTGTTCAAATGCAGACTAGAGTATCAACCCTTGGTCAAAGGGAAACCAACACTCTAACAGGTGTGTATGCTTGAGGCCACTGCTTTAATGAGCACCACTAGCTCTTAATGCCTCTAAAGGTGTAGAACCAACAAGTATGGGAAAAGGTTCAGCCAAGCCCTACCAGCATCAGATCTTGCACGAAGACTGATTCTAGAGAAGAACACGTGCAGCGTTACACATTTATCAGCATCAAGATGGAAAACACAGTCAAGACATAAGAAGCCCATGTGCACATATCAACTCCACATACAGGCTCACTTATTCCTTGCATACACTCTGACTGGTTTCCTTGCAGGAGTTATGCACCCCAAGGACTGAACCCACAAGCTGTATAGTGCAACCAGTCTATAGCTTACTTGATGTTCTCTGTGGTCCCCTCGACGGTGCGGGCCAGTGCAGTGCCTTGGAAAGCAGTAGCATGAAGGTAATCAAAGGTAACGTTTGTCAAGTCATTGTCCATTTCTTTGAGCTCCTGAAGGATGACACCACGCTCCTTCTCGATCTGAAATTCCTCCAGTGCACAGTTCTGCACAACGTCAGCCAGAAGCTCAACCACTGCAACATATTTGCTACATTAGCAGTCTTGCTGCCTGACTGCTACCCAGCACTGCTGAAAGGAGAAAAGACAGACAAAGCAGCAGGGATACAGCAAGAAGGGAAATAAACTGTGCTGGAATGGTGGCACAACACAACATATCAATTTCCACAGCATCAGAGAAGGACAAATAACACAGTTTTACTATGAAGAAATCTCTAAATCAGCTTGCCAAGCATCTGTGATAGCTCACCACTGCCAGCAGAAAGCTGGCAGAAGGTAACAAACACAGAAGTGATGCATGCCAGAAACAAGGTACTGTTGCAGAAACAAGTTGAATTCTCGTGGAGAGCCTGCAAGATCTATAGCATAGTCCACATTAAGTTGTAACAACAGCTCTGACTCAAACCACCTCTTCTATACAAAACTGACCCAAACAGGAGCCTGCACATGGTAGGTAGCACAGAGCATACGCGACATCCACGGGAGTGGCACTGAGCACTCCTGACACAGTAGCTGTTGCTGACCTCATTTTCTTAGCTCCATAAAGCAACTATACACTACTGAATCTTATCCCCTGCCTTTCGGCAGCACAGCCTGAAAAAAAAGAGGTTTGCAAAGCTGCCTTTAGGTACAAGGAGCTTGCAGCCTTAAAGCACCATTTCTTGGTAGTGCTCCCTCCAATTGCCAAATACCATCAACTTACTGCTCAGCAACAGCCTCATTCCCTGGTCAATTGCTAGAAAGCATACTGGTGGGAGAGAAACACCTGCTTTTTTTCCCACACTGGCCATCCTACCTTTCGGCATGTCCTTGGACAAGGCTTTTATGTAATAGGCAGTCTGCTCACGTGAGGTGTACCCATTAAAATGAGCTCCCATACTCTCCACTTCCTTCTCAAAGACAGCACAAGGACGCTTCTTTGTGCCCTAAAAGTATGCAGAAATACAGAGATAGTGAATAGTTTTCCCATGTAGCTGAAATAAAGCAGTAAAAAGAACAATAAAAACCTAATGCAATAAAACCTGTCACAATTTACAAAAAAAAAAAAAAAAAAGAGCTAGTGCAGAAAGCAAAATATTTAGCACCTGGCGTACTTACTGTAGCTAAAAAATGGCTGAAATGTATTTTGAAATGCCAAATGAAACCCAAAGGGAAGGAGAAGATCTAAGCTAAAGTACAACAGCAACTGAAAATCACATCAGTGTAGTAAACAAGGACAAGTCACCACTAAAAACAGGAAGCAGGTTTCTAGTAATTTAAGTAGCAATATTCGGAAGATACCAGAATAGGAGCAGAAAACGGCTTCTGAAATAGAGCTCATCCTTAGGTAGCAAAACAGATACTGCAGTTGTCTGCAGTGACATGGGCTGGACTTATGTCAACAAGTCCCAGGCTTAGCTGCCTTTTGTCCTAGGCCTGTTCAGCAGACATAGTTAGAGCAACGCGTGAGATGCAGTCTCCAAATTTCACTGACCCACTAACAAATCCAAAGATAAATAAATGGTTACAAGGAAATGCTGCATTCAGCTCTGCCTGCTACCCTGAGAAAGCGTGTTTCATCATGGTTTTATAAGTGTGTTATAGTAAGCTGGGATAGTGAGGAATCACAGCATCTGAGAATCAGTCCAACTTATTACTCGTGATTTTTTTTTCCTTTAAGAGGAAAAATACCAACTAATAAATGACAGACTTTATTCACATATGTAAGTTGCCCCACATTCAAAAAAAAAACATCATACAGACTAGATGCCTTTTAAAGTTTATTTTTATGCTATATGCAAAACCTTTAAGATTCAGATGAACTAATTTTGATTCACGCCTATACCTCTTTGAATACCTACAGCCTCCAAAGCAAGAACTAACATGTCAGTGAATGCCTGGAACATTGTCTCCATGTAGTCTTATGCCAGACCTAGTCTTACCTTAAATGCCAGATGTTCCACGAAATAACCAGCCCCATTGTTCTTCTCATTCTCATAGCGGCTCCCCGCCCCAATCCACACACCCACCTAACAGCAAAGATATCAAGCACACCTATTAGAAAAATAAACAAGCAGGCAGTATGTTCAAGACTCATGCCATAAGTGTAACAGCAAGGAAAATAAGTCTGCTTCAACAGCAGCTCCAAAACAGTAACAAGCACCTGAATTTTGTGTTGAGGATGTTTGGATTTTGTGTTTTGTGTTGAGGAACATGGTTTAGTGAGTACTATTGGTGATAGGTGGATGGTTGGACTGGATGATCTTGAAGGTCTTTTCCAACCTTGGTGATTCTGTGATCAGAATCAAATCCAGTACACATTCAAGCATTTAACATAGCAGTTTCACAAAAACCTTTGGCAGGTTTGCCGAAGATGAACCTACTTCTGGTCTTACTTACATGTCGGACTACATCAACACAAAAACTACAGAGCTCAGGAAACCAGTACAGTGCAAAAGCTTGGCCAGCCTTGTAGAAAGCCAGGCTAGGACCCCTACTACTACAGTTTGACTGAAGTCTTCATCAAACTCCAGTTCAAAGCCAGGTTTGTCACTATGGGAAGTTGGTGACAGTCCGGGCAATGCTGACTACATCGAGTCCTCAATCTACCCGCGGCTTACCGTGCACGTTGGCTGGCTGGACTCCTCCGAGGCCACCCGCAGCCCGTTGTCCAGCGTGGTGATGTTTGTCTCAGGGATGTTCTGGAGTGTCTGCGCGTAGGTGGCGGCACCGCGGTTCCTTGTGAGAGGCAGCAGGGCCGCCTGAAATGAAAGCTCTCAGAACCAACCGGCACCTCTCCTCTGCCTCACAGGCCTCCAGCACGCAGACAGCCAGGCACACTGCCGGGCCAGGCCGGTGAGAGCGGCCTTCTCGCACTCACAGCCCGCAGCTGCCGCAGCCCGCAGCTCCCACCCGCCCCTCGCGGCCCACCCGTCCCCGTGACCTTCCGGGGCCGAGATCCGGGCTGGGTCCCGCCATTCTGCAGCACAGCGCAGCCGAACTGCCCGCCCAGCCATCCTTCCCAGCCGCCCCGCTGCCCCACTGTCTCCACAGCGACTCACGCAGGGATGCGGGCCCCGCAGTAAGACCCGCCCGGCCGCCCGGCACACGGAGGACGCCGCCATCTTGTCCCTACAGCGACCGAGCGGGCTGCAGTGCGCCTGCGCGAAACAGGAGGCGGAAGGAAGGAGCTGAGGGGCGGGGAGGCGCACGCGCAAAATGCTCAGCAGCGCCCGCGGGCGGAGATGCGCATGCGCGCGGGGACAAAGAGCTGCTCTTCGATGCTGCGCCGCCCAGTGGTGGGAGGGCGCGAAGGCGGAAAGGGTTTGGAGCGGGGCCCGGTCGCCGGCACGCGATCACCGGCACGGGGACGGGACCCCGGCTTGTGCCCGTGCCCGGTGTAGGTCAAAACGACGGAAAGGGAGACGCGGTTGCGGTGAGCCCGGGGCCGCCCGCAGGGAGCGGCGGGGCCACGGCTGGCCCAGCAGCGCCGTCGTTTGCACAGATGAGGCCTCGCGGGCTGAGGACGCCTTTATTGAGGAACGCGCGCCGCGGTGGAGCCGTGATGCCCTGCGGCCTCGCCGTGCTGACAGCCCGCTGCCGGCAGCACAGCCGCTCCGCTGCCGGGGCTCCTCGCCTCACCCCAAGCGTGGGGCGGGCCGGCTCCAAGCGCCCCGCGCTGTCCCACAGAGGCTCCAGGCCCCGGGCACGGAGCGGTGAAGCCCTCCCGGCAGCACGGCTCTGCTCCTCCGCTCTCTCTTCTGCAGGGCTACATTTTGGTGCTGAGGTTCGCCTAAGGGAGCAGAGAAGAAAGTCGGCTCTGCCGTCCCGCAGCGCGGTGGCAGTGGGGATGGTGAGGCTGGGTGCTTACCGGGGCTGGGCGCCTCCCCGCATCGATGTGGAGCACGGCGTCATTCACCGAGGGGAAGAAGCAGTGCTTGGTGATGGTTGAGCTGAAGAAGTTGCCCCGCTCCAGCTGGGCGAGAACAGATGCTGCACAGAGGGAGAAGCACGTGAAGCTCTGGCACCTGGCCTCCACCCAAATGAGTATCCCACCCCTCTGTGCTCCAAAGAATGCCCGGGACATCACTGGACAGCCAGTATTGCAGAGCTCACACTGGGACCCTAGAGCAATGTGCAGCCAATGGGGACCACCTGGCACCCCAAGTGACTCTGCAACTCTCCTCTGGGGAAAAGCTGGGGTAGGAGACACCATAGAGGGCGCAGCAGCCCCATGGCCAGCAGCTGTATCCCACAGAGGTGGCTATTCCCTGCAAAGGCTGATGGCTCTGTGGTTTCTCCTCACCTGGGCAGCTGGCAACAAAGACATCCACTTCTATTTCATGGAAATCCCTAAAGATCTGCAAATGGTAAAAATCATGTCAGGGAAGAGGGATGAGCAGCTGCCATCTAGCTGTCCTGTACCTGCACCACCCCTGATCCCTTACATTCTTCAGGATTTTGATGGAGACTGTGTCCACGAAGTTGACGGGACTGAAGTCCAGGATGACAGCATGGAAGTCGGGCTGGGGCAGTCCCAGGGAGCGCAGGGTGGGTTCAGCAGGTGTGCCACCCTCCTCCCCACTCAGCTCAATCACTGCAACGCCTGGCCCATTGCACTCAGCCTCTGTTTCCTGTGGGAAGACCCCTTCACCATGTGGGTGCTGGTGGCACTCTGCAGGGCAGTGTCCCCCCAGGACCCTGGATTTGTCCTGCCCTATAGCGCATTGGGGTTTGGAGGAGCTCTAGTTGTGTTATGGTAGTGGATGTGCCAGGTCACACCCAAGTCTAGGTTCTTTCCAGGTCACCTTGTGGGCTCACCCCAATGACTGGAACTGGCCTCATTAGACTCCTCTCCGCAGTCAGCCTTTGCTCAGTCTTCATTTTGATGATTAACTTGCCACAGACTATGAATGACTCACCAGCTCCCCCACCTAATCATTAATGACTGCAGCCTCTTCCACTGACGTTAAAGGTGATGCTGATAACTCAGATGCGTGCCAGTGCCTCTCCCTGTTTGGTGGCCGTGGGCCAAACTGGGAGCTCCATGGGCTGCCTAGCATGGGCAGAAGGCTAGGGCCAGGCAGGGAAGTGGTGTGGAGCGGCACAAGAGGGGTGTGCTGGGAAGCACCTTTTTCCTCTTTGCCTTCTCCTTCTCTGCTTTCTTCTGCTGTTTCTTCAGTTTCTTGAGTGCCTTCTTCTTCTTCTCAATCAGGCGATCCACATTGATGCCGCTCTGCAAACCCATACAGCCCCATAGCCATGGTGTCAGGAAGAGGGGCAGAGCCTAGGGGGCTCAGTAATGCCGTGGAAGTACATGAGGGATGCCGTGCTGCTGCTAAGACATCCCCTGGTAGGCCGCAAGGACCTGTGTGTTGTACCCTACTTGCTGTGCTCAGGGCAGATTTTCCTACCTTCTTCTTCAGTGCATCGGAGTACATCTCCACGTTGGCAAAATAGATGGTGGAGGAGGAGCGGAAGATCTTTATTCCAGGGACCTCCTGTGCCTGGGGATGGATGGAGAGGATGTGCTACCCTGTGGACAGAGATGTGCCCCTTCTTCCCCTCCCTTAAAATGCCCTGGGCGTGCTCCTAATTGCTCCCACCGCTAGGGGGGTGCTTCTTCTCCCACCATGCCAACATTTTACCTTCTCATATTCAGCCACATCCTTGTAGACATCGGTATCGGTAACACGCCCCAGGATGGAATAGTGGGGGCTGTGGGGAGCAGAGCAACAGGCTGTTCCTGTGGGCTTCCTCTGCCCTTGGGAAACAGTACCAGGTCCCCAACACTTAACTCCTCAGCAGCCCCGCACCAGGGACATCCTAGTGCCAAATGTCCATGCTCCCCAAGGACCATATCTCCCTTGTACCCAGCCCAGCCCGAGGGTACTCACAGCTGCGTCCGGAAGATGACAGTGAGTAACGCAAAGGCCACTGAGGCTCCCAGGCCAATGTCCAAGTTCAGCAAGAGGGTGGCTATGAATGTCACTACCCAGACCATCTAGAGAGGGCACAGTCAGTTGTAGCATGGCCTAATCCCATGGCACCATAAGCGCCGGGGAGGGTTGATGAACTCCCTCAGGGCCAATCAGTGGCCTACCAGGTCCACACGGTTGGACTTCCAGAGTGTGCGGAGGTCTGTGAACTGCTTGAACATGCCCTTGAGATTGATGATGATGATGGCAGACAAGATGGCCTACGAGAGAAGCCTGCATTCATGAAAGTGCCAAGGGCACATCTGGGGGACACTTGGCTGTGCCCCACATCCAAGGCTAATTCCAGTCACTTTCCACCCCAGATAGAGCATCCCCCCCTGTGCTGCCTTGATACTGGATGTGCAGGACTGGGAAGTGACGTGGAGGTTGTGGGACTGGCTGCACCTTGGGCAGGTCATGGAATAGCTCTCCAATTTTCAGGATGGTTACCAGGATGACCAGGGATGAGATGACACCAGCCACCTGAGAGGAGAGATGGAGGCCAGGGTGAACCTGGATGTTCTCTGCCCCTGCTCATGCTTCTCCATGTTGACACCTCAGTGTGGGGATGCTGGGAGGGATTTTAGAGAGCAGAGGCAGACAGAATCACCTGCACCCACCTGGCTGTTTCCCCCTGTGCTCTCCTGCACCAGACTCCGTGACATAGAACAGCTGATGGCAAAACATTGGAAGAAGCCCCCGAGGAAGTTGGAGAGGCCCAGAGCAATCAGCTCCTGCAAGGACAGAGAAGCAGTCAGGCAGCACCATGCATCCTGGGACTGTGAGCTGTGAAACACTACAAAGGAAGGGGCTGCATGTGTCAGAGCATCACCTGGTTGCTGTCCACTTTGTAGCCATGCTTCAGGGCAAAAATCTTACCCAGGGAGATGCAGATAGCATAACCCACCACAGCAATGGCGAAGGCATTGCCTACCACCTGCCCAAAGTAGCTGACGTTAGGGACCACAGGCGGCTTCAACCTATGTCCAAGGCAGAAAGATAGGGCTCAGGAGGGGACCTCGTGGGCAGCGTGGTGCCCCAGCACAGCTGCTCTTGCCACCCAGCCCCACTCACCCGCTGGGGATGTTGCCCACCACGGAGATGCCATACTTGGAGTTCAGGTTGACACCATAGGATATGCCGGTGGAGATGATGATCTGTGGGGGTAGCTGGGTGAGGCAGGGCCTCCCTGCAGAAGCGCACTCATGCAGGAAGACAAGGGGATGTGTGCCCTAGCACCACCTTTGTGGAGGCACCCTGTCCCACCCCCCGTCACCCTGCAGGGCACAGAGACATCTGTGGGTGATGGCACCTGCCCCAGGCCATGGCTGTGTCCCCCTGGGGAGCTGGGACAGCTCTGAGTACCGTGATGAGCTCGATGGGGATGGGCATGGGGAGTTTGGCAGAGAACTTGTGGTTGAGCTCCTTCACAATGAAGATGGCCACCATGGCAATGATGGCTGTAACCAATGTGCCCACATTGGTCTCCGGCAGCTTCTTGCAGATCTCAATGAAGGTCTGGAGGATGCAGGAGGGAAGGAGAGAAAGCAGATAGATACCTTGCTGATAGCTCTTTTGGGGAGACTCTGTGTATCCTGTAGGTGATGCTTTAGCACATCTGGGGATTCCAGGGTGTCAATGAGCCCCTTACTCACCACAAACAATGAGAGTGGCCCTGAGTGCTCTCCTAGTGAGACACCAAAGACATTCTTGAGCTGGGAGATGAGGACGTGCACAGAGGCAGCAGTAGTGTAGCCACGCACTAGTGGATCTGAGAGGTAGGTCACCACAAAGCCAAACTGCAGGAGGCCCAGGGCCACCTGGAAGGAGAGGTGACAGGAGGAGTTCCCACAGCTTGTGGGCATGGGGACACCACAGCCACAAGTCCCTGCTAGGTCCTTACCTGGAAGATTCCTGACAGGACTGTGATGGTGGCTACCAGCTCTACCCTGGCAGCATCCCGCCGTGCCTCATTGACCTCTGTAACATTGGTGCCATTGACAAACTCCATAAAATCCTCACTGGGCACCAAGGAGTCCGTCACGCTGCCAATCATGACAGATATGACAGCAAAGGGACCTGGGGATGTGCAGGAAAGGAGTCCAGGATCAGTGCTTGCCAACCAGTTGGGGCCTCTCTGAGAAAGTAGGCACATGACCACTTGTTTGGTGTGCCCATGGCATTTTGGCTCTGTTTTGGCCAACTGCCTTCTTGGTGGGGTAAAGTGAAGGCAGAAGAAAGGCCCCTCCACCCACTTGCTCATTGGCATGGCAACACTGTGCCATAGATAAAATCTCATCCCTCTCATTCTCTCTCCCTCCCCTCCGTTCCCATGGCAGCACACAGTCCCTTGGCTCACCCACGGAGTTGTGTCTGGATGTCCCGAAGAAGAAGTAGAGGAAGACGGGGTAGAAGGAGGAGTAGAGGCCAGTGACAGGTGGCAGCCCAGCAAGCAGTGCATAGGCAAGCCCTGGGCACAGCAGAGTGGGGAGAAATGTTATGGATGGATGAGTCCTAGCCCTCACCCCTTGGGAACCTCACGCGGGGCACGGCATGGGAACACATCACTCACCCTGGGGCAGGTGCATGATGCCCACACTGAAGCCTGAGGCAATGTCCCCAAGCAGCCAGTCCTTCACTGGGTAGCGGGGCAGCCAGCGCAGGACAGGTAAGAAGCGGAAGAGCAGGGACTTGGCGGTGGAGGCTGAGCATCTGCCGGGGAAGGAGTGGGAGCCAGGGCTGAACATAGGGGCACCAGGGCTGCTGGGAGCAGAGGAACCCAGCAATGCAGCCCTGCAGGGAGCACCCAGCTCTATTCCCCCAGCCCTACCTTGCCTTCCGGAGACAGTCGCGTGTTGAAGTCTTGCTGGGAGGTTTCCTCTGTGCCAGCTCCTCCAGGTCAGCCTCACTCAGAACTTCACCGCGGGGCTGCCCAGGCCGGCGGCTCAGCACCATTTCTGCCGCCATGGCCCCTGGCTCTGCTGCACTGCTGGCAGATGAGAGATGGCTCAGTCGCACCCAGTGAGCCGGGCAAGGAGCAGGGAGGGTGCCAAGGCCACAACAAGAGATGCCTTGAATGCGGCACCAGATTGCACTGAGTCCAATCCATCCACCTCTGTAGGACAGCCTTGGTGCTGACCACCTTTCTGCTCCATCCAGCCCAGTCCAGCACCCTATACGTACCGCAGCACATACAGGGCAGCAGGTCAGCACTGCTGCAGAGCAAAGCCCCGGCCAGCCCCGTAGCCTTTCCTGCAGACTTTGTCCCTTTACACATGAGGGGAGCAGGAATTTCAACCCTTGGTGAGTGTCACCGGCTCACTAGTGCCCCAGCCCCCTGCACTGCAGAGCAAGGACTGAGCCAGGGGCATAGAGGAATGGGGTAGGGATGGGTTCATATACACAGTCGGGCAGAGATGTCTCTACAGCCCAGGAGCCCTGCCCTGCTTATGCCAAGGTGCCTCCATTTCTAGGTTGCTCGCCCAATTGCAGCCAGATACGTGAATTGCTCATGGGACGCCCCGAGAAGCTTAAGCCCCTGCATCTCCCCCAGCCCACTTACCTGCTGCACCCACACCAGTTGGGTGCCGCCAGTTAGGCGCACACTCTGCTCCCTCCTATTAATACCTGCCCGTGATCTTTGAGACACCGCTCCCTCCTATCTGCCCTCCCTCCCACCCTGCCAAGATTCCTGGGAAGGCAGCACCCTATCACTGGGACTCCTGGGGCACCCCTGTAGCCCCACCACGTCCCAGAGCAAGAACTATGGCCTGGCATAGCAATGCCTGCAGCCACTGACCAGGGCCCCCAGGGTACTTTCCTTGCACTGCAGCCCCTGCTTACCTGCTGGAAATGGGTGTGCTGTGCCCTGTGGACTGCCCCACTTTTCCCCAGCATGCATAGACCTGGCCATTATCTTGTTCCAAAGTTCCCCGTCGGGCACCATCGAACTCTTTCACACCTTCCTGTGCTCCAATACTATCTGCTATTGCCGTTATTTCTGGACTGCTTCCAAACTGTGCCTGGCCCAGATGCACAGTAGAAATGCAGCCAGCCATGGATTGGGCTAACTGGCCCTGACCCCATGCAGAGTGAAGCAAGCGGGCAGGGCACAGCAGGAGCTGGGGAGTCCCAGTAGCTCTTCATGGTGGGACAGGACCACAATCTCCAGGGTCAAAGCAGCCTGTTCCCATCCCATTCCACAGCCAGGGAATCAGCCCATGGCAATCACACATTCAGCATGACCCATCACCATGGCCACTGCATGCAGACTGCTCATCCAGCTTTCAGCAGCAACAGCACCAAATACACACCCCTTAATCTCTGAAGCATCCTAACAGTAGCTCTCAGTGCCTGCTCACTTGTTGTCTCCCCACTGATTATCTGCTCACCTGGCACTAAATAGGAGGCTGTCACAGGTCTCATCTAGTAGCAACTGATAGCACCAGATACCATTTACTGCCTGCTTATTACTCCAGCTGCTGGCCCCTATCTGACACTGGCACGCCCAGCCCACGGCCACTGGGCCACCTGACCATCGCCCTGCCACCCAAGTGTTCCCAGCAGCCCTTCCTTGCCAGCCAGGTCCTCAGGTCCATTAGCACGGCAGGACCTAGGGGCTGCCAGCATGCACCACCCATGGAATGGGAACAATGGCAGCGCCTGGGGCTCAGACTCAGCCCCAGCCTCCATCCAGATAAAGAGAACGCAGGGGAGGGAGAGTGCTGGTTGACAGCAACCCTTGCTCTGAGTGCTGTGGGTCAATACTGCCCTTTGCTCACGTGCTCTTTTCCCTCCATCAGTAAGTAAGGGAGGGAAGGAGGAAACGTGATCATGTTCGATGCCTGCTCTACTTCCCTGTGGCCTCACCCAGGCTGCTGGACACAAATGCTGGCCACTGCCATTCCCTTACAGCCCAGAGCCAAGGGCACTGCAGCAGCTGACTCCATTCCATGAAGCCCCTCACCGAGGACTGGAGACCTCCTCCAGCCCAAGGGATGGTGGTAAGCTCCACCACGTCATGGGTGCAAGGAGAGAAAACAGAGCCCAGTGCCATTTTATAGACTTTTATTTCCAAATCTGGCGCTTCCATGATACACTTTTACACAGCCAGGGAGGGAGCATGGGCGTCTCCCTGCCCACAGGATTGGGATATGGAGACAGAACAAAAAGACCCAAAACAACAACCAAAACCCCCAAAGGAACAAACCCAAACCCAAGGAGGGTGCTCCCAGAGCCCAGGCAACAGCACCACATTGGGACTGAGCCACAGCCCTGCAGGCTGCCCTGCTCCCTGCCTGGCCCCATACCACAAGCACTGCCGCCCCGATGCCATCAGCTCCACCGTGTCTTATTTATTTTTTGGCACTTGTCTCTTGCTCTCCATTTGGCACTAGTGGGCTGCGGTCCCCTTGCCCAAGCTGGAGAGAAACGTGTAAACGAGCGGTCCCGTGGGGTGTGTAAACATGTCAGCAGGGAGACGGGCCTGTGGAGCTGCTCAGCTCCGTGCCGGGAGCAGGCCCAAGGCCTTCCCCAGCCCGAGACCTTGGCCTGCCCAGGCAGAGCCCTGGAGGACAGCAGCACAAATCCTCCCGTGTAAACATCCCAGGCCGCGAGGCATGGCAGTGGGGTGGCAGTAAGGCAGTGAGCACCACGGCCCTGGTGGCACCCAGGGACAGCTGAGCAAGGGCATGGCCTCTCTGGGTGGGCCAAGGGGAGTGTGTTGTGTCAGCCCCCCAAGCCAGGGGCCCTGCTCCAAGTGTAGGCACAAAGGAGAGCCAGCTGGTGAGGGGATGGTGGGGGCCCTGGCTTAGCAGAGAAACATGCAGAGCAGCCTGAATCTCCAAAGGGCAAAGTGCCATTTGTCTCTGTCTCCTGAAATCCAGGCTGCCTGGAGCAGGGGTTCTCTGCTGGCAGGGCCTGCATGCACAGAGTCTGCAAGGAACCAGCTAGAAACAACTTCTGCAGGCGATGCCAGACCAAAAGACCAGACAGTTCCTGCAGATGTTCATTGGCTGCTGGGCACCAAAACAGCCTAACCTACCTTTGAGCTGCACAAGCAGTGCCAGGGCCACCCAGCTCTGTGCCTGAAGCCCTCGTTCTTGCCCCAGATCATAGACAGGGGCAGCCCCACACCAGAGAGGGCTGAGGGAAGCTGGGCTGCAGGGCCAGCACAGCTGCAGGGCACTGAGGGATGCAGGACAGCAGGAGAACCCTGCTGAGACACCTGGGGAACTGTAGGGCAAGGAGCAGAGGGCCTGGATGGGCACTCGCTGCCTGCCTCAGGGGGGGGACTGAGTGAAGCTGGCAAAGCCATGAGGTCTGCTTAGCACTGTCCCTACAGTCCTCTAGTCCCTAGCACCTGAGGGAAGCCAGAGAAGGGCCGTTGGCAGACAGATGCCCCAGGTCCTGGGAACAGACCACCCGCAAAAATAACCATAGAAATTTCTCTTCTCTCTGATTACAAAGATACAAAAAGGTAGAAAACCCTCCTCCACCCCTATGTCCTGGGCTCCATTTCTGTCCCCCTGCCCCTGCTCCACACACACACACACACACACACGTGCGCACGCACACACATCCCACATAGAAATGGGTTGCAAAGGAAGAGTTCAGCCCCAGGGGTCTCAACACAACTCTCCCCTGAGCAGGCTCCTGCTATACCTCTCACACCAGGCAGGCAAAGGGAGCAGAGCAGCAGAGAGCCTGGAGGCTCTGGAGGTGGGTGGTTGGGTGCCGGCCCCTCAGCCCGGAAGGCAGGGAAGGCAGAGTTGGTCTTTGGGCCTCTGACCACCATCAGTTCTGCCCCTGCCCCTGGGGATGCCAAACCTTGGCTGGTAGTGTCTGGCTAGGCGAACAGCCCTGCCTCTTCTATCTCTCTTCTGGATGTCTTCAGCCCCTCAGGAATGGCCTTCGTTTCTCATTATTCTTCTCGGAGAAAAGAAAAGCACCATTAAGACACAGCACCTCCCCTGGGCTCCAGCTGCATTCCCTACTACCTCCTGGCTACACCATATGGGAACAGAGACCCATGCTACTGTGTCCAAATCCCTGAGTTCAGGGAAGAGGAAAGAGGGAATGGAACAGGGATGGATAGCAGCAGTGACAGTGGGATACGTGGCCCTCCCCTCTAAGCTGAACCCCTGAGAGAAGAAGCCAGGCAGACAGTGCCCAAGACATGGCCAAGGAAGGGCTGCACTTACTCTGAGTCTGGCGACAGCTCCGAAATGCTGTGAGAGGTGCTGGAGTGAGGCGTTGAGGGGCACATTCCAGGGGGTGTCAAGGTCTGCATGGCAGAAGGGTTGGCAGTGGTCTGAGGGCCTGAAGGCGTGCTGGAGGATTGCACCGAGGACAGGACAGAGGTGTTAAAAGAAGCAAGGATGGAAGATAGGATATCTAACTGTTCAGTGGAAGGATGTCTGCTGGGGATTGCCTCCAGGTTCTCTCTAGAAGGCTGCCTCCTAGAGAGCGGTTCCAGGCTTTCCCTAGAGAGCTGTCTCCTAGTGAGACTCCCCAGATTCTCCTGCGAGGGCTGCCTGCTAGGCACTGTACCCAGAGGCTCTCTGGAATTTGATTTTCTGGAGAGAAAGTCCAGCTGCTCTCTTGAAGTTTGTCTAGATGATGCTAGCTGGTCCCTTGAAGGTTGTCTTCTAGAAAGCAAATCCAATTGTTCTCGAGAAGTATCTCGACTTGGTAATCTGTCTATGCGGTCTCTGGACCCTTGCCTACTTGGCAATGTATGTAGCCACTCTCTTGAGACCTCTCTTACCAGCCCACAGTCTAGCTGCTCTCTTGACCCAAATCTGCAGGGTAAAGTTTCAAGGTGGTCTCTGGAGCCCTGCCTCCGGGGCAGCGTGTTCCCATGATCTCTTTGACTGGCCCTAGGAGCAAGTAGATCCAAGTTTTCCCTCGACCCATGTCTGCTGGGGAGATTTTCTAGGTGTTCGGTAGACCCGTGCCTGCTGGGGATAGTGTCCAGCTCCTCCCTGGACCCATGCCGGCTGGGCACCGTTTCCAAACACTCTCCTGAGTTGTTCCTGCTCAGCTGCTCCCGGGACATCTGTCTCCTCATCAGCATGTCGAGCTGTTCCCGAGATGAGTACCGGCTGGCTGGCTGCGACAGGCTGCCAGCCCCAGAGTAGATCCTGCCATAGGAGGCAGCAGGGACAGCCCTGTGACCCAGTGTGGAGGTTTTGTACCAGGACAGCTCGTTGGTCATCCTGCCGACAGACGGCAAGCCCTGCAGAGCTGGAGGGTACTGGAGGCGGTTCTTCAAAATCCCTACATCAGACAGAAAGAGAAGTCACATCTTTGCAGAGCAGTGAAAAAAGCACAAGAGCTGTGGGAGATAAACCTCCCCAGGGACATGACAAAATAGATGCAATGCTGAGCCTTTGGGGCCACATCCACCAGGGACAGGCCAGGCTGCCATCAAGCTGTTACCTTTTCTCTGCCGTTGTGTCTGGGTGAGGGAGTTCTCATCCCCACTGGTCAAGGCCAGGTCTGGCTGATTGTTGTTGGCTGCGTCCTTGTTGATGTCAAACCCCAGTTTCCGCTCAGAGCCCCACTTCTGTAGGGAGCAGGGGTGAACCTCACACTCGCCCAAAGCCGGCCAGTACGACATGAGGTCGTTGCCATCCACATCTGGTGAAGGACACACCACCGGAGAAGAAGGAGAGAATTCTTCTGTGAGGGGTAATGAAGCCATGGCAAGGCACAGCCTTTCCCCCATGCCACCCCAAGGTGCAGCAGACCCCTGCCAAAGCCAACGGAACTTGCCTTTGGGAGCAGTGTTCGTGGGGTTGGTGAGGAGGCGCTCACTGTGTGCTGCACGCTTGAATTGGCGCGGGAAGCGGCCCCGCAGGCGTACATTCTCCTCACTTTCTGATGACGGGATGGAGAGGCTGCGTTCCTCATCCAGAGACAAGTCGCTGTCTGAGTCCGAGTCCTGGTCTGTACAGACACGGTGTGTGTTGAGGTGACATTCAGAAAGAGAGTGGGTGAGGCTTATCATCAGTGCAAACAGGAAGGACAATTCTTGCCTCCTTCGTTTTTAGCTCCCTGGAGACTAGTTATGCCCTTTCCCATCTGTCCAGGAGGAGGCTGTGCGAAGTGACAAAGCTGCTGACTCTTATTAGCAGCCTAGTTGGGAGTCACAGCCAAACATCAGTGGGAGGACATAGCCATGCAGTCACAGCCTACACAGGGAATGATTTAAGCCAGAGCTAATTTGGGATACCTCGGGTTAGACCCTAACCCAGGTGCTTACCTCCCCCAGCATCACGGTGGAACATAGCCACGTCAATGTCTGTGGGGCCAGCGTGACCCAGCAGGCTGTGATCCAGAGCTGAGCCCTGACGTGCTGTCATGTTGTCTCTGAAAGACACAGGATCCAAGCAGTGACACCAGCATGAGCCCTCGACTCTGCCTGGGTGCTCCTGGCATCCTGCGCCACTGCCTACCTGAGGTATCCCCGCTGGCTGGAGTGGGTGCGGGCAGAGCGCACGCTGCTCACTGATGAGATGGTGGAAGCCCCCAGGGTGATACGGATGAGCCCGCTCTCCTCAAACAGCGCTGTGTTATTGTAGGTATTGGGGCCCTGGTGAAGCAGGGAGAGAGGCATGGACTCTTAATGAGGTGCAGCACAGAAAAGGACCTTCCTCTCCTCCCATGCCTCAGTAAAGAAGGGACATCCCCTCATCTCCCAACAAGCAGCTAGTCCCCGGCTCTCCAGGTGCCCACTTACCTGCGTGCTCCGAGCAGCTTCCTCACTCTGTCCCTTCTTGCCAAGGCAGGCCAGCTTCCAGGCTTCTTGCACCTCCTCGTTCAGCACACAGAAGAGGACCAGCACAGCCAGACCCTGCAGGGAGAGGAGCCATGAGCACGACGGCTGCAGGGAGAGCCCCTCACAGCAGGTTGGCACTCTGCAGCAGAGACAGAAGGGGTTGGCAGTTGAGGGCTATAAACACAAGCCCCCAGGCCAGTGGTCACAGGAGAGGAAGGAAGGGCCAAGGTATCTGTGAGGCAGGCAGTGCTTGAGAAGTGACTGTCAGGGTCCCCTGCAGAATCATCAGCCCCTCGTGGGTATCCTTAGCAAAGAGCCTTGGGGAAGCCAGGTGCCAACCTCCTCCCCAGCAGCAGCACACAGGGCCTGGAGCAGCCAGCAGGGTCAGTACCTGGGTGCTCCACATCCCTTGCACCCCTGCTGAAGGTGCTCACAGTCTCTGCAAAGCCCCCCCGCAATTCTCAGGCTAGTTATGGGGACACAGAAATTACTTTTGCCCCATGAGCCTGCCTGGGTGGAGCCTGGGCAATTACCTGGAGGCTGCAGAGGACAGTGTAGAGGTAGTGGAAAGCCAGGACACTGTTGTTGACAGCCAAGAGGCCAAAGAGCCAGGTAGCGCTAATAACTAGAAGCAGAACAAAGGAGCTCCGTAACGTCATGCTGGAGGGAGAGAGAGACAGACAGGCACACACACACACACAGAGGTTAGCGCATGTTGTTAATCTACAGTTTAGTGCTTGCAGACAGAGATCCAGAGGGGAAGGTCTCCTCCTGCCCAGCCCTCCATCCTGCCCCACTGCAGTGCTGCAGGCACATCTCAGCACAGCAGTGCTGCTCACTCCTGACTGCTGGCCCTTCCCTTCTGGAGCACACACTGCAAACACAGGGCCCAAATGACACGGATCGTTTGGAGCCACAGAGAGCAGCTGAGCCAAGCTCTGGGAGGAGGGTGAGTGGGGAAATGGTTTCAGAAGGAGCATTTAGGACAAGAAGCAGCAGGTGCTGAGAGCCAACGTGAGTAGATGTGAGGGATGGCTGTCAGGGCAGGTGGGAAAGAGGGACAGGCTGGCAGGGCAGCATGGAGATAGGGAATTTTAGGAACAGTTAACACAGCCACCAGGTGGGAGAGGAGAGTGGCTGCAAGGCTGACAGATGCACTGAGCGGCACTCCACGATGGTGGAAGAGGGAGGAATGATCACTGAAAATGCTGAAAACTAAGAGCCACAGGAGCTCTGCTGGGAATTTGGCCACTAATACTCACAGAACCGATTTCTTCTTGGTCTCCTTTTGGCCTGGGGAACAGGACATCTTGGCCACAAGCAGGAACATCACCCCATTCATCTGAAAGCGTTGGCACTGATTAGAAGCCGTGCCAAAGGCTGGCTCTGACCTGATATCCCCAGGGCAGCGCATGAGCAGATTCCAGGTCCACCAGGCCCATGTGAAGCTCCCCTCCTTGCCCCTTCACACCCACGCTCTGGCCTCCCCCAGGGTTTGGCTGGGGCCAGGAAGGACAGAAAGGGGCTCTAACAGCAGGAGTACAGAGAAAGGGGCAGGCAGTGGGCAGCCAGGGAAGGGGCAAGTGTCTGTGGTGCAGAGAAGGGAGGCAGGAGAGGGCTGTGGGTGAAACAGGACAGGGTTTTACCACAATGACGACAGTAATGGGGCCTGCAAAACTCCAGACCAGCTTATCATGAACGGAAATCCAGCAGAAGTCAGGGTTCCCGTAGCCCTCAGGATCCAGGCCAACAGCCAGCCCTGGGGAAAGAAGGGAGAGGACAGCTCCAGACCTAGCAGGTGCTCCATGCCTATTGAGGGAGCCATACAGACACACACTGAGGGATCAGTTGTCTCCAGAAGTCATGACAACAGCCTGTGATATATGTTTTCAGCTGGGCAACACAGCTCCCCTCCCCTCACCACCTGCACACCCTCTTCTAGGACCACACAAACAGCCCAAATGGCTGGCTGTGATCTCACACCCCACCAGGGTGACACCAGGGGCTCAGGAGGCCGCTGAGAACTGGTGTTTTTGGCATGGCCATGAGCCAAGCAGCTCCTACCGGTGATGATGGCAGGCACTCCCCAGCCGATGGCATAGTAGAAACGCATGGCCCCAAAGTTGACATTGCGGGCTTCGGTCTGCATGCGATAGATGTGGAGGCCCTGGACGAAGAGCCAGGCGAAGGTGGAAAGGAAGAAACAGTGGAGGAGGATGGCAATCACAGTGCAAAGAAACTGGGGAAACAAAAGCCATTCAGAGATAGTCCCACCACTAACTGCACCAGCCACACCTCCCCCCCAGCCCCATAGTGTGCAGCCCACAGACCTGATTTTCAGTGTGGTTGATGCCCAAGAGGAAGAGCAGCTCAGAGAAGAAGAGAGTGACTGAAATGTTGGAATGAATGCCACGTGTGTTGGACTTCAGTCCTTTGAGGCAGGTCAGGAAAGAGAAAGTCAGCAGCAGGGCCACAAGGGAGAGAGACACCAAGGAGTAGGTGACAATTGCCAACGTCTCCAGGTCACCTTCTAGTTGCTGCAGCAGCAGAGAAACAAAGGCAAAAGGCAGTGTTACAGGGAGATACAGGAAGCTCTCAAACTCTCTTGTGCCCCACACAACTTGTTGCTGCATATCCTGGCAGCTAACAAACCCCCACTACTGCCCACAGCCCTGCAGGCTGAGGTTACCTCTCGGTGTGAGCTGTCCATCAGAACCCCAAAGGTGCCAAACTGGGAACACTGGCAGTGGACGTGCGTGGTGTTTCGGTACACAAGATCACAGTCCCTGGCTGTCCAGAAGCCCAATGGGTTTGTCCTGTGGCCACCAAAAAGCAGACAGTATTCAGGGGAGAAGACATTGTGGTGTATGTGGAGGGAATTGCAAACAGCCCATTGGTGAGCCTTTTCTACCAGCACTCTCACAGCTGAAATACCAGAACCAGAGCCCTGCTGAGACTCCACTGTGCCCTCTCAGCAGGAATTAATCCCCTGCAAGAGGGTGGAAACCCCTACATCTCAATGCTCTCTATTCTGAGCCAAGGAGACTCTGGGAACTAGGAGCTGCCTGTGGAAAGCAGCTCAGAGCAAGCAGCTTGTGGCAGAGAACTGGGCCCAGCCATGTTCAACTCACGGGCTGGAGTGGTTCCACTGGACACAGAGAGGTTTGCTCCTGTTGGCCGTCTCCAGCAGGCGAAATTCCAGCACGAGAGGGGTGTCCAGGGGCCCCCGCAGGAAGGTGTGATTGCTGAACACAGACACACTCACAATGGGGGAATTCATCACAGGATTCTTGGGGAGCCTGCAAGAAGCAACAAAGCTCCACCATCACCATGCCTGAGGGCTGCAGCCTTCCCTGGGGCATCCCAAGGCCCTGTGCTGACATCTCAGAAGGAACAGTTCTACCCAACCCACACTAAGGGGTCAGGAAACATGGAGCATAGTAATTCTGTGGCAGGGAATAGGCAGAGCAATGTAGGACCACCAGGCTGGGAACTAAACTGTGGTTACTGCACTGTTGTATTAGGCATAGACTCTGTGGCTGCAAGTCCAACTAGCCTCTTTCCACCACTGCTCAAGGAGGGTGAAGAGGAGGACGTACCTGACACTGCGACGATCCACCTGGTAGCGTGCAGGTAGCAGCCCCCCCAGCGTGCGGTACATGATGAGGATGACGACAGTGAGAGCAGGCTCAGGCTCTGGCAGTGTCTGCCTTGGAGAAGAGCTCTCCACAGTGTAGTTTCCTTCACCCCCAGCCACCGTGGGTACCGCTGTGGGGACAGCTAAGGCAAAGAAGGGGACGGTAAGAACAGGCAAGGCCAGCACGCTGCATTCCCCGAACGATGCTCACCTTCAGCTTTTGGGGGGCTCAGCAGTGACAGCGGCAGCACAACATGGGTGTGGGGGTCCCAGGCAGGCTGGCCACGGAAGAGGCTGCTGTGGTAGCGAGGGTAACGCCGGCGGATGTGTGAGTGGTTCTCCATGCGGTCGATGCTCAGCACTGAAGAAGAATGAGGGAGTGAGAGGGCAGCCATCTGGAGAGCACACACTCCAGGTGGGTGATGCGGGCAAAGGGACTGCAGGAGCCACAGGGAAAGGTCTCCTATGTTTGGGCATGCTGTGAGATTCAAGCATCCACAGCGCCCCTTCCCAGTCCAGACCCTTGCCCAGCTGTAGGGGTTCAGCCCTCCAAAACAGGGCGATGGAGGCGTGCTCTGCACAACCTCAGCCAGGCCCCACCACCAGCTGGCTCCTACTCACTGATGTTGGGGGTGACGACACCAACAGGGTTGAGGTAGGTGAGTTTCATGTTGCTGGCCAGTGTGCCCGAGTAGTCCCGCAGCTGCTCCATCAGGCTGGCACTGCCGTGCTCGCTGTGCGGCAGCATGGCCCAGTGCTCCCGGTTCTCAGGCGCCAGCACAGAGCTGCCCGCACGCAACAAGTTCTGCATGGGAGAGACAGCAGAGCATGCGGTGAGCCCTTGGGACACAGCCTGACAACTCACGAGCTGCTAGCACTGTGCCCTCTACCAAGTTTGCTGCACAAGCATGCTAGTTTCCCTTATGATGGACACCCACCTCAGTGCTCATCAGCAAGCGTCCTGCAGAGACGTCTTCTCTGCACCCCTCTATGAGGGATTAAGACCCCTCTTTTGCTTTCCCTCCCCTGCACTGAGCAAACCTGGTGCTCTCTGTCTTTCCTCATCCCTTTCGTGCTCCACCTTGGCCACGCAGGTGGCCTCCAGCCGTCTCACCTCTGTGGGTCAATGCCTGTGCAGTACTGAGGAGCCCAGAGCTCCTGAAGCAGTCTTGTGATATCCTCAGTCCCTAAACAGACCCAGGTGGCCGACAGAGCAGAGCAGCATCAGAAGGCACTCTAATTTAAAGGAAGCTCTCACCTCATTGAAGTGGGCATCTTGCGTGGCTGTCAGGCCAAAGCCGTGCTGCTGGCTCTCAAAGGCCATCAGGCGGGACAGCAGGCGGTAGGTGATGTGCACATCATTGCCAAAATAGTGGTCCATGTGGTCTGTCACAGCCCGGAGGCGGTGGGCCAACTTCTTGGCTTCAATTGTGTTGAGCTCAGTCTCATTCCTCTCCAAGCCCTCCAGCTGCCAGTGGGAAGAAAGGAGAGGATTAATTCATCAGCAGGTTCCTTCCTGAGGGGCATCACAGTTCCAAGGGATCGGGGTGTGGGGTGCTCTAAGTCCCACTGCAAGGCCCTCCCCTATGCTAAGAGCCATGGAGAGCTGAGCTCATGGCTGTGAGCTCTTGTTCCTACAGCTCCTGCCTCATCAGGGCTGCAGAAGCAAGGGGGGGATTACCAGCATGGAGAGTTCCTTGAAGGCAGGTGAAGTACAGTTGAAGAGATCTGGCTCCAGCCAGCCCTTCTCCTCATCACAGTGTCTGATAGCTGAACCTGAAACCAGGAGGAAGAGCAAATCAGAGGGTGCAGGACATGTAGCTCCCCAGCTGCAACCCCCAGCAGAACTCTGCACCAGTTAACCCCAAAGAGCAGCAGCGATAAGCAACAGGAAGAGCCTGGTGCACCCCAGAGCCATCCTCCTGCTGTTCAGCATTGCAGCTGTTCCACCCTTGGTCTGCACCTCCTCTGTGAACTGCTGCCATGAGCTGGGTTCTAAGCATGGTTCACACAGCCTGCATAGCACCAGATACCATTACACAGCAATGCAAGGGGGAGTGATCTGGTAAGGCTCTGGCTGGAGAAACTCCCGGTTCCTGGTGAGCTGTGCCTGTGTCCTTATGGCACATATGATCCATATGATCCCAGCCTACAGAAGCCCAGGCAACTCCAAGCTTTCCCTGGCTGGCAGACTGCAACATCTGCTGAGGCCCTTCCATGTGTGGGAAAGCTGCTCCACGAGTGCAACAGTAGGTGAACTTGCCCTGGAGATGGTGGTGCACTCCTAGAAGGTACAGCAGCCAGCACAGGGTACCAATCCCTGGCTGGGGCCCCAGCACTGTTGGACAGCAGCAGAGATACCAGAAGTGACAAGGGATCAGCTGTTAAGTACCACTCACATTAGGAGCATCACCACACATGCTATTAGACACACGAAGTGGGGTGATCCCAGTACCCAAGACCCTCCTGAGGAAAGCGCTAGGGCAGGGGAGCTCACCCAGGCCCCTGGTGGGAAGAAGACAGCAACATGCTCATGGAGGGAGTCTGCAGCAGATCCCAAGGCCCAGTGCCCATCACTATCCTCAGTTCCCAGCTGTTCATCCCAAATACCCTCTCCCCAGCTGCATAAGCACAGAGACCAATGCCACTGCAGGTGGGAGCAAAGAGAACAAAGCAACACCTGTGTTGCTGGCCTTCCCTCCAGCACAGAACAGGTCCATGCCGGTGTCTGTAGCCTGGCTCAGCTGTAGACCTGGGCAGGATCCGACCCTGGGGTGCCTGCACTTTGTCTGCCAGCCAGCCAGCAGGACCTTGTGCTGAGCTTTGTGCATCAGTTCTGCCCTTGCTCTCTCACACCAAGCACCTCCTTCTTCCCAGCCCACCACAGCTCCTTCCCCTCCCAGCCTAAGTAAGCAGGGGCCCGCCAGGACAGCCAGCACATGTCCCAGCCAGCGAGCACAGTAGCCTTCCGTGCCACCCAGAGCCCATGCTGCAGGACAGTGGGTAGCAGGGACTGCATGCAGCTACAGCCAGCTCAGTGCTGTTAGTGTGCTGGGAGCAGGGAAGCGGTGCATAGGAGCGGTGAGGCCAGGCAAAGCATTGAGGAGATACTCGGCAGCTCCAGAAGCAGCAGGAAAAGTGCAGGGGTGTGCAGGGTGCCAGGCAGGGAGCAGGGAAGGAAAACCATGTGGCACAGCCCTTACAGCAGGGAAGGAAGGAGGTGGGAACAACCTTACCTGCACCCCTCAAACCTGAGCACGGATGGCGAGAGAACCAGGGAGAGAAGCGACAACAGTTAGGAGCCGAACCTGCCTCTTCCCGGGGCGAACGGCTGGAGAAGGACAGGGTTTGTATTGTGCCCTGGGGCTCGCGCTGCCCTGCAGTCCCACCACACCCTGCTCACAACTCTGCCATCACCCAGGACAGCCTTCTCCAAGCGGGGCTGTGACTTCCACCCAAGGAACTCACCAAGAGGCACGCCATGCCCTGCTCCCCGCACAGCGCTCAGAAGGGGCCCAGCTGTGCAGCACCAGGTGCTACGTGTGCCTAGCTGTAGTGTCAGGCCTGACCCCAGCCTGGCTGAAACCGAGAGGTGACAGAGAGAAGCTGGGGATGGAGGCTAGGTGACGGCACCAACCCTACAGGGGCTCCCAGCCCCACACCAGCCCCTTCTGCTCGCCCTCGGCTTGGTCCATTTTCTTCTCCATTTTCTACCTCCCAGCCCTCCAGACCAGCTAAATAGGACTGAGACAGCATGGGGTGACCTTGCTGGGGCTGCGACAGCTCCTGTACAACAGTGAGATTCTCTCAACCCCATGGCACCTCTCACTCACCCAAGGAGCCTTTGGGACATAGCACCACAGCCGAGAAGCCAAACTTGGTCTGAGGCCACCACACGCCTGCTTTCAGGCTTTTGGGACATCCATCGTAGAGCACTGCAAAGACAAGCACCTCAAGGACCAGTCACAGTGGGCAGCTCACACCAAGCCCCGTGGTGCCGGTGCCGTGCCACCTCCCTACTCACCCTTGCAGCCACTGGGTGTCACCTCGGCGAAGGGGCTGTCACAGCTGTTGCACTGGCGGCCAATGACTCCAGGCCTGCAGTGGCACCTGCCGGTCTCCTTGTCACAGGAGCGTGAGGAGGAACCCACTGGGTAGCAGTCACAAGGCAGGCAGGTGTCGCTGCCTTTGGGGCGGTAGTGGAAGTCCTGCAGGGAGATGGGGATGGCCATCAGACAGCCCGTGAGCACAGCAGGTGCCTGGGAGCCATGAGTGGGAGCTGAAAAGGGTCTTGCTCTCCTCTCTGGGTGCTCATCAGGAACTCATCACAGAGATCCTCATTTGCAAGCATTCTACTGTCCCTACTGTCACCTTGCTGGGCCAGAAGGGCCGCAGATAGGAGGTGAGCAAGGAACAGGCACAGAAAGCAGCACCTCAGCAGCTGCCAGCCCTGAGGAGTGGACAAGAATCATCAAGGACAAAGAGGGCTCCAGGGATGCAGGTGAGCCATGGCCCCTCACCTTGCAGTGGCACTGCCCGTTGGTTTTATTGCAGTCAGGGTCAAAGCCCTTGCTCACATCGCAGTTGCACGGCCCACAGGAGGGGTTCCCCCACCAGCCCTTCGGACACTGCTGGTCCATCCTAGGAGAGAAACACTTCCAGTGTTACACCAACCCAATTTCCTGGGCCTTCTGCCACCAGCCCAGCAGCTTCAAGGAGCAGGGTAGCAGCAAGGTGTCACACAGCTGGGATGGGAGAACTGGAGGCCATGGCCCTGTCATGTGCCACACATCTCACCTGTGCTCGCAGTACTGCCCGAAAAAGTTCCCTCCGCACTCACACACGTAGCCCAGGGGTGAGCCTGGCTTGCGGCGACACACCGACTTGTTCTTGCAGGGGTTAAGGTGACATGCATCCACACATTCCCCTCCATAGTACCCTGAGGTGTGGACAGAGAGCAGAACGTGAAGAAAGCACCTTTCCTCAGGAAGGGTCAGAGTACTCCGAAGTGGATCTCGGGAGGTTCAGGAGGGATTCTGCCCTCTACCAAAGCTAATACATGTCTGGCAGAGATTTCTAGGCACACAACTAGCCCAAGGGAAGGGCAGGCTGTGGGAGTTACAGGGCAGAGAAATCTTCTCACTCTAAGTGAGAAGAGCAATGGGGTGGCAGAGTGCTGCATGCCCTACCTGGCTGGCAGACACAGGAGTAGCTCTGCCACTCATCCTTGCAGATGCTATTGGCTGGGCAGGGGCTGGAGTCACAAGGGCTGGGCACGCTGCAGCCAGCCTCCACCCGCAGGGCATGGCTGGGCTTGGGCAGCACAGTCCCGGTGATGCTGTCACCCAGTCGCACTCCCTGAAACATAGGGAAAAAGTTGAAGGGAAGAGCCAGGAAAAACACATAACACTTCAATCTGCCCAGCCCCTACAAGCCCTAGGGCTGGCACTCTTCCCATTGTCCCTGCCACACTGACTAAAGGCTGCCCCCGCAGCAACTCCAATTCCCAAATGCTCAGAGGGAGCACATTCCCAGCAGGATGGACACCTCTCTCCACAACAGATCCCATGGACAAGGAAGGCTCAAAGCAGTGGACTCACCTGTATGCAGCCCCTCAGCCCATTCTGCACCTCGCCAGAGCCCAGGACTCCCCCCACGTGCAGGTGTTTCACCTTCAGGCCATGCAGTTCATTTCCAACAACAACTGTGTCCTGCAGAATGTACAGAGGAGTAACACGGTGCAACTGCCATCACACCTGAGGGTGTAGGCAAAGCTTCCCCCAAAGTTCCTATCCCAGAGCCAGGGTCTCAAGCAGCACTCACCTGGTAGAGCCCAAAATCCAGCATGATGGTGATGACGTAGCGTGAGTCCCGACCGCTGCGGACATCCCGCAGCTCCAGCTGGAGATCGTGCCATTGCCCGTCGTTCAGCTGCAGCTGGTCCAGCACAAGGCTGGTGCTGCGCCCTGAGCCCCGGCTCACCATGAAGGAGAGCAGGCCTCCAGACAGCTGCAGAGAGAGAGAACAGCAATGGCAGCAGTGAGCAAGGTCCTGACCCACTTTGGCTGCCTTCAACCAACCCTCCCTGAGTGCTCTGAGCACAGGGAGGGAAACCCAGTCCTCTGCGTGGCCCTACCTGGCACAGCAGGGTGGTGTACTGGCCTGCGTGGGCCTGCAGAAGCACCCCGTCCATCTGGCGGGTCCGAAATGCCAGCCCCAAATACCATGGCACTGAGATCTTCATGTCTGCCTTGAAGTCCCAGCTCAGGACACTGTTGCCCTGGAAATAGTGGGCATGGTGCATGGCTGGAAAGGAAAGCGGAGATGAGGAGAAGGGATGGGGACCACCTGTTTCTGCCCTGGGGCGTTTCCTCATGCAACTCCATTTTCCAGGCACTGGTGATTCTAGAGCAGCAGATGCAGTGATGACAGAGCCAGCTCATCTCACCTGTACCCCACCCTGCTGCGCTGCATGCATTCCCCTGTGCACGCCCAGCAGCTCACTCACCATGGCGGCAGTCCTTGCCCCCGAAGCCCACAGGACAAAGGCAGGAATAGGTCCCCCAGCTGACTGAGCAGGTGCCACCGTTCTTACAGGGGCTGGAGTCACAGAAGCTGTGCTTGGCGTGGCAGCCTGAAGGTACCCAAATCACCCACATCAGCTTCAACCCACCTGTCACCTCCCTTCAGTCCACAGGGCAGGCACTGCTGGCACCCAGCCCTTCCCTGCTGCTGGTGCAGGGAGATTTGGGGCTGCTCCCAGGGCAGGGGCAGGCAGAGGCACAGGTACCTGCGATGGTTCCGTTGTTGGCAATGTAGGAGGCCAGGTCGATGCGTTTGTTGTCAATATACAGGTCTCTCATGCATCCTACAAAGTCCCGGTGAGAGACAGGGAAGTTTTCTGGCAGGTTAGGGACTCCTCCGAGGAGCAAGGGACCTGTGAGGTCCAAGGACCTGTGAGGAGAGAAGCTCTGTGACCTCTAGCTGGCCAGGCTGGGAAGCTGACATCTAGAGGTGACACCTGGAGTCAAGCCATCCCAGGTGTGAAGGGCAGGCTCCACTGAGGACGCAGGCGCCATGCTCTTCTCCCCACCGCAGAGCACCCCAGTGAGGAACTCACTTCTTGGAGCTAGTCTGCACTCCTTCTGCAGCACATGAGTAGTTCCCAATCTCACTGCCAAATTGCAGGGCCACAGAGGCGTCGCATTCATCCACTGTCAGGATGGCCACCTTGTCCTTGGAGGGGCCCTGAACCACTCCCAGTGCGCTGACCTTGGGCTGAAAGCAAAGACACAGTGTCAGCAGCACGTGTCCCTCCAGATCCAAACACCCCACAGCTCACCTTACAGCAAGAGAAAGGCAGGGAGCCTGGCGCCACTGCACTGGGCACAGGAGAGCCCAGGGACACCTCACCGAGCACAGTAAGCCGTTTGAGGTGGGTACAGATGGCCTCATGGGGACAAAGACCTGGTGCACAGTGGGGCACAATACCTTGTTGTAGTAGCGGAGCTGCAGCGTGTGCCACTGCCCATCGCTCACACCCCCAGGCAGGTACGGGCTCACCACTGTGCTGGACTCCCCTACAGGGACAGAGATAAATGCTGCAGGAAGCTGGACGTGCAGTGGTGATGTGATCAACAGGACAATCAACACCCATCCAAGAGGGTCCTCAACTCCAAATCAACCCGTGGCCAGGCAGGAGGTGAACTCAAGATGACCAACAGCAGCAGGAACCCCCCTCTTTGCAGTTCTCAAGGCCCAAATCCCACAGTAGGTAGGCCCACGCCTACCTGTGGAGTACTTCAGCTGGACCTGCCCCTGGATGATCTCCACCGCCAAGAAGTCGTGCCGCTCATTCAGGCGCCCATTGTACAGCAGGAGGCCACCAGGCTCCACCGTGCTGAACCTGGGCAGGGAATCAATGGGAACACTGGGTGCGTGCAGGGAGCGTGAAGCAGCACCCAGCGTGGGGATGGGGAGAGAGGACAGGAGGTCCAGAGGACCACCAGCAGAGGAGGGAGAGAACTCACGAGAGGGAGAGGGTGAGGTGGAAGCGCTGGCGTAGGCCCCGGAACATGACAAAGGAGCGGGGTGGGAAGGAGCGCGTGGACAGCTCGCAGAAAGGGGTCTCGAAGCTGCCCGCTGGGCACTGGCAGCGGAAGCCCCCATCGGCGCCATTGGTGCAGGTGCCCCCGTTGCGGCACACGCCGGGCTGGCAGCGCCCCGAGCGGCTGTCCACCTCGCAGTTCTCACCTGTGGGAGACAGAATGGGAGTCTGGGACGTGTGCCCTCAGCTGCTCCTCACCCATGGCACCAGGAGCTCCCTAACCCTGCAGGTGGGTGCAGGCACTTGGCCCAAATAGAGGAACCCAGCCGGGTGAGGACACTGACCATCCTGAACCTTGCTCACCTCCAGTGGAGGGCTGGGAACTCCGCCCTGCTTCCTCAGTGCCCACAGCTGACCTCAAGGCCAGCCCACCAGTTTTACCTGGCCTCTCTTCAGCTGGCTCTGCTCACCCAAAGGCCCTGGTGAGGCTGATCTCACAGCAGCACAGTAACCAATTGCTTAGCCCTATGCCCCAGGCCCGGTTCCATTGCTTGCTCACACACAAGGAGGAGGATGCGGAGACAGCATGAAGTGACAGTGAAACGAGCTCATTAACCCTTCTGCTAATGGCTGTTCACGCTTCAAATGCCAGGGGTTAATTACCACTGACTCCGCTTATCTCACCAGGAGCCGAGCAGCTCTGAGGCAACCATCTGCTGCCACACTCCCCTGCCTCCCTTGTAGCCACAGGCCACCTTCTCTCACCCCTTGCTGACAGTGGCTGGGCACAGGTCTCCATGGCCTGGTGGGGCCTAGTGTGGCTGTGAAGCACTGTCGGGAGAGTCCCAGGGGCCAGGATGGATCCTGCCTAGTGGGACAGTTGGGCTTCCCTGTCCACGCTCAGTGGGGGGGCTGAGGCTTCCCATCGTGTTATTGCGGCACCAGCTTAAAACAGTGCTTTGGATGGTCCTGGAGTCCATGGGAAGGGAACAGCTGGGGAGCCCCTGGCTGGCACTCACCACTGAAGTGCTGGCGGCACACACAGGTGTAGCCGCCCTCCTTGCGCGTGCAGGTCCCTCCGTGCCGGCAGGGGTTGGAATAGCACAGGTTGATCTCCGTCTCACAGTAGTCACCAGTGAAGCCCTGCGGGCAGCGGCACCTCAGGCCAGTGATGGGGTGGATGGGGCGGAACAGAGTGGACGGGGAGGCGATGAAGGGCGCAGAGCTGTCGAACTTGAGGACGGAGATACACTTCATGTAGTTCTGGCAGGGCTCCCGCAGGCAGACGTTATCATCAAAGGGCAGCACCTCCAGCATGGACGCTCCCGTCAGCGCCATGCGCTTCATGTACAGCTGCTCCTGCAGCTCCTCCGAGCTGAAGTAGTGCCCACCCCGCGGCGCCAGGGCCGAGAAGCTGACGTTGAGCACTGTGCCACCCACGTCCGTGTCGTTCTGGATGTTGAAGATGAAGACGTCCTCCTTGGGCGTCGCAAGCACGGTGGCCACCCCTTCCAGGAAGGTGGCCAGCAGCGGGGAGAGGAAGCGCTCCTGCCACATGTTCTCCAGGCGCACTGTGATGCTGTTGGCCAGCATGTCCTCTGTGATGATGATCACCCGCAGGACGCACTGGGCTGTCACACTGTGGATGCCGTCTGCGGGACAGAACAGAGATGTGCTTCAGGTCTCCCTCCTGGTTCAGTGTATGAAGACAGTGTGCTGCATTCTTGGCTAAAAAACCTTGAAGCTGTAGCCCATGGAGTTATCTGGGTGTTACCTGCCCCAGGCTCCCCTCTAAGATAACTGCCAGGTTCTCTCCTCAGTCTGGATCTGGGCAGCCAACTGAGCTCTCACAACAAGGATGCTGCTGAGCAGCATGCAGAAGGCAGCCCCAGCAGGAGGTTGGACAAACACTGGAGCCGGTGCCAGCACCCAGGGTGCTTCACTTCCCTACCGCCCCCCTCTGCGCTGCCCTTGCCCACACTATCTTCCTGCCATCTCTTTCCTCTCTCCTCCAGGGCCTTCAAGGCTTTTGTGCTGGTCTCCCTGCTTCCTCTTTCTTACCATCTGCTCCACATCCCTTCTTCTCCAGGCCCATCTCCGGTTTGTTTAATTCTCTTTCATCTATATTTTCCTTGGAAACCATCTCCCTGTCCCTCAGGGCCGCACGACACGTGAACCACCTCCAAGGCAGTAAAATGCGTTCTCATTTGTGGCCCCAGAAACATCTAGTGAGGCCCACCAGGAACCCCACTAACCTGGCAAAAGGCAGCAACCCATCTCCCAGGTCATTCACACCATCCCCACACCATCAGCCCCACACACCAGCAGCGCAGGGTGATCACTCATGACTCCATGTCCCACTCCACATTCACCAAGCCCCAAACCCAGTGTTTCTTTGGAAACTCTGCTCTCCATCATCATCACCACCCCAAGACACAATTTGAACTAGCATTTCTCAGCAGGAACACCTTCTAAAAGGTTCAGTCCCCACCCCGCAGCCAAGGCCACCTCCTTGTCAGCTCCACGCAAGAGGAAGCAGATGGTTGGAAGAATGACCCTCTGTAAATGAAAGGGGAATAAAAAGAAGAAGAAAAAAAAAGAAAGCTACCAAAAGAAAACCCAAAGCTGGCTGGAGGCACTGACCCCCATGGGAGGTATTTTAATCATGGATGCTCAGCCTTCCTGATTAAATCCTGTGGCTGGAGAGATGGTGCCTGGTGAATATTCATGCAGCAGTAAGAGGTACCCCAAAACATGCCTGCAGGACAAGGAGAAAGCCTGAGGCTCTGACCCCAGTGCTGAGCAGTGCCAGGTCAGCACAGCTGCAATTCCCAGAGTGACATCTACCAGCTTCAAAAGCAGCACAGCCAGGGCCAGACCCCATCCCTCCTGTCTTCCTCACTGCTCCCAAGCCTCCTGTGCAGCACCCACCCCAGGGACTTTGGTGTCCTGTCACCAGCAGGGAACACTCAGGCTTTCAACCACTCCTCCACCCTACAGGCTAGGAGGCCATTGGAGGCCACTGTGTGAGCCCCATTGCCATGTCTGGTTGCCATCAGCATGGCATGGCCAAGCCTCACTAAAGTTCTAAAGGGCTTTTGCAGTACTCTCTCTCAGAAGTAAATCATAATTCCCGAGACAGCACTCTGAATGTCGTTCTCCCAGCATCAATAAAGACAGAGACAGAAGTACAATAACCAAAAAGACTCCAGACCCACTCCCTAACCAGGAATGGAAACCCAAGTTTCTCATCACAAGTCATGGTCAGCTCCCCCAGCTATAAGGGACCTAAGAGGGGAGGAGGTTCCTGAGACAGGACTCCTGAGGAAAGAAGCAATACAAGCTGCAAAAGGGAAAGGCAGCCCTGGGACTCGTGCCTGACTTGAGAAGAACGCCGAGCTGCTCAGCCTCAGGAATGACAGCGGCTCGGGGCCAGCAGCCATTTCTAGCACCCGCGGTGCCCACGTGGCTGCGAGGAGCTGTCCGTGGTGCTGAGCCCGGTGGGTCCCCCAGAAAGGCGCAGGTTTGCGGTGGCCGCCCTGTCCCTGTGAGCCCCCAAGCTCAGCGGCCCCAGCTACGAGCTCTTGTTGCCTTCCCTCAAGAGGAACGAGCTGGGCTGGGGCAGACAATGCAGCCCTGGAGCTGCACGGCTACGGCACCGGGGGCAGACAGGGCCGTCGCTGGAAGCCTGAACAATGAAGAAGGGAGAAGCAAGCCAGCCCTCCGCAGCTCTGTCAGAGCCAACAAAGGCCTGCTTCCCACTGCCTCGCTGCCCCCCCTCGCCCCCCCACCCCACTGCACGGCTCTTCCCCCTCCATCCTCCCCTCCGCCAGCGCACCTCTCCTATTCTCCCATCCTGCTAGAAGATGACGACACACTAATTGCAGGGGCCCTCTCGCTGCCAGGCAGCTCAGCGCAGGACTTTGCAATGTGATTTTCGCCTGCCTTTGTGAGGGGTTAAGTGTGCAAGGAGGCAGGGCTTGTAGAAACACACTGGGAAAGAAGCTGAAAAGGTCAAAACCAGCCCCCACCTCCAGTAACCAGCATGTGTGTGTGGGGCCAGCCAGCCCTGCAGCTACAATTAGTCCCCAAAGAGACTAATTCCACTAATGGCTGGAGCTGGCCATGCCCTGAACAGGTCTGCTAGAGCCATCACTCTGTCTTTTGAAATAATTTTTCCTCCTGCTGAATAAGCTGGATAGAAAGGGGGTGGGAAGGGTGTCAGCTGGTAGTCAGGGGAGAATTGCAATTTAAAGCACAGTTCTCAGGCGTGCTTTGTGATTCACTGTTCGGGCCCTCCAAAGAGAGCTCCTGTCCTCCCTTCCCCAGAGCTGCTCCTTGTTTCAGCACTGGATGGATGGATGCCTCCATTTCAGACGATGCATCCACAAGCAAAGAAAGGCTTGCAGTGCCAGCAAAGCTCAGGCAGCTCCACACATAGACACTGCCTCACACTCAGACAAGCCATGGGTTGATCTGCGCCCCATCCCCTCCTAGCTGGAGGTGACCGTTATGCTTCCCCTAACCACTCCAGGGAGCCACCACCAGCATCTGCATTTGGGTACTCCAGCAACACAATGCGAGTTTTAAACACCTCTCTCCGAAGTCCATTACAATCATTATATGCAATGCAAAGTTGACTTCAGAACAGAGACCCCAAAATTTAGAAGCCACAGCCATCGACAGATGCCATGGCCAGAACTCCGACCTGAATTGTTTGCTTAATGGTACCCTCCAGCAGTCCAGCCCATCCCTTTCCAGTGCAGCTAGGAAATGCATCCACTCCTGGCGAGGAGAACTTGCTTGGGGCTCGGAGTAGAGTGGCCAGCTTGGCCACCCCAGGAACACACTGTTTGCTTGGCCAGCACCCCAGGGCATACATCACTGCTTCGCTGGTGACAGCATCTCCAAAGGTGTCTCGCTGGCAGCTAGATGAGATCCTCACGGCTGAGTAACGATGCTTTGTTCTTTCACACCACCAGTGGTCTCAACCCCTTTGCAAAATGCTTTCCTATAGCATGCAACCCTTTCCATGATTCCCAGACACTTCAGCATTTCCCGATTTGAAGTAACTCCCCATCCAAACCTTGTCACCAGTCCCAGCCCCCATAGATTCACAATGGGCTGTCACGCAAAGGGGGATCATGCAAAGCCCCCCAGGGGATAACACCCCAAATCATGCATTTAAAGGTTTTCACACCTACCTGTGACAGTCACCAGCATGGAAGCCACGAGTGGACGGTTGTTGTCCAGCTTACGGCTCAGCCTCAGCTCCCCGCTCGACTGATTTACAATCAACAAGTGCAGTTCATTTCCCCGTTCAAAGGTGTAGAAGAGGCGGTCAGACACATCTGGATCATATGCTGGGACCTTCCCTATGACTCCGGAGGGAAAGGTATTGGATTTATTGGACACATAGTTATTGAATAGGATCTGGAAGTTCTTGAGAACAGGGCTGTTGTCGTTCTGGTCAATGAGTTTGATGTGTACCGTGGCTCTGCTGACCAAAGGGGCAGAGGTGGCCTGCACTACAATCACATACTCCGGTTTTGTCTCATAATCCAGGTCTATCAAGGCCGTGAGCTCTCCAGAGAAGATGTCCATCTGGAATATCTCGGGGATGTTGCCTTCCACAATTTGATACATTATCTGGGCGTTGGGTCCCTCATCTGGGTCAATGGCTGTGATTTGAGCCACAACAGAGCCTACAATGCTGTTCTCTTTTACCAAGACCTCAAATTCCTCAGCTGGAAAGACAGGAGCATTGTCGTTCACATCCTGAATGGTCACTTGGATATGGACAGGAGTTCGCTGAGCAGGGATGCCCCTGTCCACAGCATATGCAGTCAACTCATAGACTGGGACATTCTCCCGGTCCAGCCTGCGGACAGTGCGAATGATCCCTGAGGTGGGTTCTATGGTGAAGTCTCCATCCCCATCCTCCCCGTTCTGGAAGGTGTACTGTACTCTCCCATTGGTGTGGGCATCCCGGTCGGTGGCAGAGATCTGGAGCACGCTGGTGAAAGGAGGTGCATCCTCAGAAATCACACCCTGGTAATGAGTGCTGACAAACTGGGGCGCATTATCATTAACATCATTCACCATGATTTCAACGTAGGTAGTGTCTGCTTTCTGGGGGATCCCGTTGTCTTTGGCTGTGATAGCCAACGTGTAGGTGACCTGGTCCTCATAATCCAGTTCTGCCTGGAGAGTGATGGCCCCAGAGTCTGGATCGATGCGAAACTGAGGGACGTTGTCTTCTAGGTAGTACGTGATGCGAGCATTTTCCCCCACATCATCATCTGTGGCACTGATCACCACCACAGTGCTGCCCACGGGCCGGTCCTCATTGATGCTCACGGAGTAGTGTGCACTCTGGAATACTGGCCTGTGCGTGTTGGCATCAGTGATGTTGATGTGCACATGACAGTTGTCACGCAGCGTGCGGTCGGAGGCCGTCACAGTGAGCACGTAGCGCCGCTCCTGCTTGTAGTCCAGCGGCAGGGACAGAGTGATGATCCCCACTCCACCCTGTGTGCTGATAGCAAAGCGGTTCCGTGTGTTGCCTCCTGTGATCTGGTAAGTGATGGCACTGTTCACATCCCGATCGATTGCCGTGACACTGAGGACGCTGGTCCCCACAGACGCGTCCTCATTCAGGCGAATAAAGTACTCCTTCTGGGTGAACTCGGGGCGATTGTCGTTGACATCCATGACTGTGATGGTGACGCTGGCAGAGGCAGATAATGATGGAGAGCCATGATCACGAGCCTCCACCCCAAAAAAATAGTGCTCTACCAACTCCCGGTCCAAAGGCCCGCTGACCGTGATCCATCCCGTGGCACTGTTCACCACAAAGGGTGTGTCGGCCGAGACCCCGGTCAGCTTGTACTCCAGACGTGCATTCTCACCATAGTCTGCATCCACAGCCTGGATGTGGATGACGGAATGGCCGAGAGGCGCGTTCTCCAGAACGGAGATTTGGAAAGGGGTGCTGACAAAGATGGGGGCATGGTCGTTGATGTCCACCACCTGGATGCTGGCCATGCCGGTGTTGTTGGAGAGCGGAGGGCGCCCCGCGTCCTGTGCCCGGATCCTCAGGGCATACTCGCGCTCCACCTCAAAATCCAGCGGGGCAACCACCTGGATCTCCCCAGTGACGCTGTCGATAGAGAACTGGCCCCGGCTGTTCCCACTGATGATGTTGTAGTGGACGAGCGCGTTGTTGTCCTTGTCCAAATCGGTGGCGGTGACGCGCAGGATTTCGGTGTGCGGCCGTATGTCCTCCCTCACCTGGACGATGTAGCGCTTCTCGCTGAACTGCGGCGTGTTATCGTTCTCATCGAGCACCGTGATGTACACCTTGACGGTGGCAGAGCGAGGCCCCGGTTCCCTGCCCTGATCGTTGGCTTCCACCACTAAGGAGTACCTCTCCATCTTCTCCCTGTCCACCGGCCCGCTGGTGGTGATGAGCCCGGAGCGCGGGTCGATCTCAAAGACGGCGTGGGCCGCCCTCTCGTTGACAAAGCGGTAGCGGATGTTGGCGTTGGGCGGCGAGTCGACGTCGGTGGCGCGCAGCTGCAAGATGGGGTAGCCCTCCTCCACGTTCTCCCGGATGGTCTCCCGGTACTCGCTCTGCTCGAACACCGGGTCGTGGTCGTTGCGGTCGGCCACGGCGATGGCCACCATGGTGGTGGCAGACAGCCGGGGCGCCCCGTGGTCGGCGGCCGTCACTCGGAAGTAGTGCAGCTCCATGCTCTCGCGGTCGAGGGCTTGGGTGGTGGTGATGAGCCCGGCGTGAGGGTCGATGCTGAAGAGCTCCAGCGAGCGGCTGTTCATCAGCGCGTCCATGGAGTACACCAGCCGCCCCGCCTCGCCCCCGTCGGGGTCCTGCGCCGCCACCGCCACCACGGCCGTGCCCGCGGGCTGGTTCTCGGCCACCTCCGCCTGGTAGTTGTACTGCGGGAACAGCGGGTGCCGGTTGGGGGCCGCCCGACGCCCCCTCCGCGGTCTCGGCTGGGCGGCGCGGGGCGGGCAGCGCGGCGGGGAGCGGCGGCGCGGAGCCGCGGGCGGCCCCGGGGGAAGGGCGGCCGCCCCCCAGCGCGGCGCGGCGGCGGGACGGCAGCCCCCGAGACACGGCGGCCCCCGGCCCGGCGGAGCGGCGGCCCCCAGCCCGGGGGGGAACA